TATCGTAACTAATTACTTAATAATTATAGTCGTATACGTAACGTAATTAGTTACCGTCCTCTCTCTCTCTCTCTCTATGTATATATATATATATACACATACACACACACACACACACACTCACAACTGGGAATAAATAAAATTTTATCGTTGAGTAGACACCATGCTTTTCTCCCAACATCTGCATTAAACATTTTACTATTCACATGTTAAATTCGAAACCACACGAGTGTTTTAATGTTTGTTTACACTTACTCAAACATATATATATATTTCAAAGTGTGCATGTATGTTTTAATTGGTTTCTTTTTTCCGCATTTGCACCTGGCATGTTTCAGAGACCTCAGTGCGTGGTCATATGATCAATTGCTCAACAGTCATTTACAGTTTCTAATTGCATCAGCACTGACTGCCATTCGGACTTAAGCACAGTGCCATTGAGTTATATGTTCATGAGAAAATAGCGTAAAGATTGGTGCTGTTATTAATCTATTCTAGATTCCCGGTTTACTACAACATGAGTATTTCTGTGGGGCTCATTTTTTAATACTGTAAGGGGGGGGGGACGAAGACTCAAATTTATAATTGCTCTAATAGCCTATTTTCAAACCTTATTCCTAGGCCGATGATGACCTATAAAGGTCGAAAAGTCATTCTTTTGTAGGTGTTCATAATAGGGATCGCCCATTTCTTCTTTATTATTATTATTCAATAATATTTCGCCAGCCTACAGTACAAGTGGCCGTGAGTATTGTAATAAAACCTGGGCAATATTACTAAACGCATCATTGCGCATTGTGTGTGGTAATATTTAAGTTTATTTGACTACCTAGCAAATAACAACGGGTATATAACCGTTAACACCCAATCGTTTTAATGTAGTATGTCGTTTATATGGAGCCTCATAATCTACTATACGCATACGTATATAGCTTCGAGTAGGCCGTGGATATAATTTAATGTATATATGGCAAGTAAACACATGTACCTTAGCGATTATTAACTTATTGTTGCAACTGTATTGATGTCGCGTATTATTTGTTTATGTAAAGGGTTCTTGTCGTTTCGGACACGATGCTGCTGACGGGATCAGATTTTTTTACCACTGCATGATCGATTTCGGCCATATTACACAAACGTATAGTTGTCACCCACAACAGCAATCTTTAAGCCGGAGTTTAAAAGATAGCACCAAGCTCAGTTTCAAGCATCGGATCGGTAATCACGGTGACGGCTGATGGTGAGTTTCGAATTATAGCCAACCCTGCGGGATTGCGATTTTTATAGAGTAGCCATCCCTGAAGATGCCTATAAAAGAGTGGCAAGAATCGTGCAAGCAGGAGATGACGATTCTAGGTAAAGTGAAGCAGAAATTTTGTAGCTATATATTTTATTTAAATAATATTTAGTTTCAGATAAAGTATGCAGCAACGACCAGAGTCGTCACTGTGGAAGTGGGTCGTAGAAATGTCACGACCCAAACTCCATCAGAAATGGATGGGGGGGAGGGTGTTAGTATCCTCAATTCATAAGTGTTAATTAACACATTTTCGACTTTTTAGAATGTGCAGAATGTCACTGTAAAAGGAAATCTGGCCAGCTGCAGCAGGGCCCGGCATGGCCAGGTGGTTAGGGCGCTCGACTCGCAATCTGAGGGTTGCGGGTTCGAATCCCCGTCACACCAAACATGCTCCCCCTTTCAGCCGTGGGGACATTATAATATGACGGTCAATCCCACTATTCGTTGGTAAAAGAGTA